ACTTATTGCCAATACACATTTTTTTCATAATTAAATTTATTCTCAATAAATCTAATTTCTTCTATCTACCTAGCAACTATTACTGAAGTTCCTCGGAATTCGACCCTTCTCATTAGAACAGCATGGTTATCTTTTCCTTTTGCATGTTAAATAAATTGCCCTGTTATCAGTCAAAAATGTTATGTTTCAGCATAAGTGCATAAGTGAAAATAACGTAAATGCGGCGCACCCTCTAAACACCCTTTAACTGCCCTCTTTTCTGCTCTTTCTCCAATCCAGATCAAAAATAAGTTCTGAGACAGGAAGGTTGAGTAGCCTATACAAAGTCCCTCTGCACCTCCAGTCTCTTTTTTTTTTTAGAATTGATATTTATTAAATTTTCAAAAAATAACAAGTAACAACAAAAATTTCCCAAAAATTTTTAAAATACAAAAAAAAAAAAAAATAATACAGAAATAATAAAGAAGAAAAAACCCAGCCGCAAAAAAGAAACAAAGAAAAACAGAAAAACAGAAATATAAAATCCTTTACGATCTCCATTAACTTCCTTTCTAGACTTCCTCCTCCTTCATCTCTTGTTTCTTAGTATTTAATTTTTACAGCAAATCCTTTCTGTTTTTTCATAACAATCTATCATTGCGTTTCCTTATTCTATTTTCCCTCTTGTCATATAAAAACTTTAAAACTCAAAGCTTATATTCAATATTTAGCAAATTCTTACATCATTACCTTTTTTCAAATCATTTACCAATCCTTACTTAAGTCATATAATTTCATTCAACATCCTTCAAACATTTATAAACATTCCCAATATTAAAAAATAAGAAAGAAAAAACAATAAGTCAGATTCAATCCAGTCAACTTCCAGCCTCCCTCCCCTGGACCCGGGATTGTCAGTCCTTTTAACCTCATTAATCCGGCTCCTTAACCTGGTTGTCTCGTATCCGAGGCCCTCAAGTCTCTTTCTTGCCCCTTTCGCCACTCTTGTTGATATTTCCCTTTCAGTCGTGGATACTCCAGCAAGAAGATGCTTTTGACTCTTTGCAGCAAGTCCATCCCAAACCCATTACCCAAGCCAGACAGCAGATAATACCACTTCCAATTTCCACAAAACTTGGAGACTTCAACTACTCCAATCCTCTGATGGCCCATCACTAGACTCGGAAAGTCCAAATAACCATATAGAGGGGTGTCAATCCATCCCCCCATTTCCAAATCTGACCACATTTCATCTTTCCGAATCAGGTTTGTCCCAAGTTCATTTATCAAGTTCAAAGGCTGATCTTGCCCATCCATAGGTCCCTCCATCTCTGAAGCCTCCGTCGCTACAGCAGGTTCATATACTTGTATAGACTTTAACTGAATTTCATTTGTTTGCTGCTGTGCTCTGGTAACTTCCGTCCTCATCAAGGTCGACTCCTGACGCATCTGGTCCAGCTGGGCACTTAATTTTGCAAAACCTTCCAGGAACACTTGTTCAAGCCTTTGTACAAGCATTGTCCTTCAAGGTCAGAGAAAATTCTTTCCCACGAGAATGGTCCTTCTCTTTTAAACTCTCTGCATTGCAATTTCACTCAGTTCCACTAGATGGAAAACCCTCTTTTTTTTTTTATTTTTTAAAAGGGGGAAAAACAACAGTAACAATCTTTCTTTTTCCAGAAACACTTTATCCAAAATTCCCCCTTTCAGATTCAAGAGGCAACAGTAGAATCAAAATGTTACCCTTCTTTTAACTATCTGTCGAGCTGGATAAGCTTCAAAACGTCAGTTCTGACAGCCCGCTCCTGGTTCAGGGCGGTGGAAAATTACTTTATTTTAAACTCACTTCCGCAGGGTTGAAAAGATCAAAACAACCCCCTTCTTCTCCTGCAATCAAAGGGGGGGTTCAGAAATCTTAGATGTTGAATTTTAGTTCTCTCAGAATTTAGTTTTCAAGCTTTAGTATAATTTGTCTTTGCTTTCTTCACGTAACAAAAGAACGGAAGGCGACTTCCTGTTTAGACCTTTCCGTTCCGAGTCCCAATTAAATTCAATTTCAAGTTCAAGTCCAATGTTATTTATTTATTCACCAATCTTAAAAGTAGTTCAGCTCTTCCAGGATCGGGTACTCACGGATAGATGTTTTAGATGCCAAATTGTCCAGGAAAAGGCAGCGCTCTCCGAAAACGGCAGTGCGGCTTTGCTGCACGGAGGAAGCAGACGACTCACAGCACCACGCACCTCCCACTCCGGAGCCCGTTACCGGGCTCCTGTACAAGGGGAGAGAGCGCTCTCGGTGCCCGCCGAGTCCCACGCCCACAGGCTTCTTCCGCCTGTGGTTTTTAAGGGTCCCCGCTGCGCCGTAGCGGCAGGACCCAAGCCTCCGTGCAGCGGGTTCCCTTCAGTTCGAAGGGAATTCCGCCATTTTCCGGAGGCGCCACCCCGGAAGTATCTGCACCTCCAGTCTCTTCTCTGTCCGCACTGAAGTCCTCTTCAGGCTCCAGGGAGGGTCTCCTCATGACCCATGAGGACTCTCCAGCTCTCTCCCATCATTTCTAGGTTTGAACTGAATTACTTAATTATTCCCCGGAGCCACGCAGTCACGTGCAAGTCAATCACACTCAAGTATTAAACACTGCAGCTATCAAATAGTGTCAGATATCAATATCATCATAATCATCTCACCCTTCACACCAAGGTTCCAGGGTAGGTTACAACTACCAATCACAGAAATATGATGCATTTTTAAATATTATTTTCATAAATATATGCATTTTATGCGCCATCTCCCTTAACTTTGGCCTTTCTGTACACATTGCTTCGCTAAAGAGCTGCAAAATTCAGACAAGCTCAAATTTCAAAGGATTGCTGCATTTTGATTCGCAAATTAATTCATGACCTGCAAGTTCGACAGGTTCACCACAGAATGTGAACTGAACTGGATTTCTCTTCCAGTCATAAACATAGCAAAGGTACTGTTGAACTGCTGGTTTTTATCTGCATAGATCATGCATCACAAAGAGTAGATATGAAGACAAATAGATCAAGTGTTATGAGTTAGCACAGTGATAGATTTACGTTCATGCAGGATAAATTGAGTGAACAAGAGCACTATTAATGAGTAGGAAAAGGAAGAAGCCAATATTGGAAGCTTTGCCAAATAAAAGCTGCTGTGTCCCTCCCAATTTTGTTCATTTGCATCTCCTGTGCTGTCCAGCGCATTATCTTTACATCACGAGGTTTATTTTGGAACATGTCAACACATTTCTGAAAAGGTCAGGCATATGATGGCCCAATCACTTCAATCCAAGAAGCACTAGAGATAAAACTGTTTTCCCTGAAAATACTAATTAGAAGGCCTTCTTTGCCAGGGAAGATCTGATGAAGCAGGTAAGAGTGGAAAGCACGAACCCATTTCAGCTCTCTGGTTATAAACTCCAGGGTTCTCTGCTTCACTCAGAAGTGTCGTCTTTGGCTTGGAAGGATAAGTGTTGCCAGCTGGTTTTAAAGCCTTGCCACGGAAGTAAGGACTCCAACCACTTGCAAAGCAAACTATATTTATCAGTGTGTGTTCAGTGGAGCAAAAAACCCGAGAAGCCTTTCATCTTAAACTTCCCCTTCTTTAAGAGGCAGCTGGTTAAGAGTGGTTTTATGGTGAAGAAAGACTCTCCTTCCAAGCCAGTAATCCTAATGGTGCAGGAAATGTAGGGCATTTTGCATGCGGCTAAGTGAATAACACTTTGATTAAGCAGTTAATTGATTCCACTTACGATTCAAATTTGCCAGGGTTTTCCACTTTAATTGCTGATTGGGAAGATTCACATACTGTATTTCGTAGACCAAGAAAGAAAATTTCAAGAGCATTCCTCTTCTTGGTTGAAAAACCATCCACCTTGGAGCCTTCAGTTCATCTTCAGTGGCCCCCCAACTTTTCTCACAAGCTCATATAAGATCAGTATAAACAGTTAGGCCTGGTGAGCATTTAAGGTCCCCATCCCTAATTTGCTGGGCTGCCATCTGATTGGATTTCACTTTGATTCTGATTTTATTTTAGGATGCATTTTTATTGATTCTTTGATTTTATGGTAATATGTTATTTATTTGATGTTAGCTGCTCTGAGCCTAGTTTTGGCTGGGGAAGGCGGATATAAATATATTATTATTATTATTATTATTATTATTACTATTATTACTATTCAGGACCATGTCTGCACTGCCTAATTCCTGCTGTGTTTCCTGCATTGCAGGGGGTTCAGCTAGATGGCCCCTTGGGATCCCTTCCAACCCTAGAATTCTACTATTCCTATTTGGTCATCTGCTTCTTACGTGGTCTCTGCATTAGAACAGCAGCTAACATTCATATGGACAGGGTTATTTGAAGTTAACTGGTTTAGCCCTAAAACAGATATGCTTTTTGACTCCTAAGGGTCAAGGATATGCCTCCTAAGGGCAAATGGAGACAATATCACAGACAGGAGAAACCTGGTACTGAGGAGAATAGCTTCATTGATTGCCAGGAGCCAGAGTCAGGAGTAGGTCAGTGATAAAACACCCAATGTCAGTGAGTTAACTCTTTATTCAAAGAGACCAATGAGGCAGTTGCAAGGACTGAAGGTCCCCACCTTCCCAGCAATCTCTAAGACTCCTCTCACAGTTCCTTCCTCATAAGCCTAAGGCTCTGTCGTCTTGTCTCTCTTTGCTCCGCCCTCTTTGTTTCTCTGGATGTTAAGGGAGATCAGGGAGGAGGGGAGATGGTCGCAGCAGGAGGTGGTGAGACTCCCTGGCTTCTTCAGCAGCCTGCCTCCACTCTGCCTCTTGACCCCTCCCCTCCTGCCTCTGCTTCTGGACTGCTCTCTGCCACAGCCTCTTCCTGTTCAGTAGACCCTGTTGCCCCTTTGACTTCTGGCACCTCCTCCTCCCAATCTGCCCCCTCTTCTCCTTTTGACCACTCATCGTTGTCCCACCACCAGTCCCTTGGCTCTGAGCCTTCCCCTTGGGGTTTCCACCCAGAAATATGCAACTGTCCCATACAGGGATCAAACCTGTAAACTTGGCCTTACCAGCACCATGCTCTAACCAACTGAGCTATCTTGGCAAGGGAAATCTGAGTGTAGTTGGACATGCACTCTGTCTGACTAGGACACCTGGCTTGCCAGAAGTACATGTGAAACGGCTCTAGGGGCCTTAGTAGACCACCAGCTTAACATGAATTCACAGTGTGATGCAACAGCAAAAACTGCTAATGCTATTCTAGGCTACATCAGCAGAAGAATAGTGTCTAGATCAAGGGAAGGCATAGTACTGCTCTATTCTGCCTTGATCAGACCATATCTGGAATCCTGTGTCCAGCTCTGGGCACCACAATTTAATAAGGATATTGACAAGCTGGAATGTGTACAGAGGAGGGTGGCCAAGATGATAAAGTCTGGAAACCAAACCTTATGAGGAACGTTTGAGGGAGTTGGGTATGTTTTGTCTGAAAAAGAGGATAGTGAGAGGAGCTGTGATGGCCATCTTCAAATATCTCAAGGGCTGTCACATGGAAGATGGAATAATCTTGTCTTCTCCTGCTCCAGAGGGTAGGACCCAAACCAATGGCTTCAAGTTACAAGAAAGGAGATTCTGATTCAACAGCAGGAAGAACTTTCTGACTGTAAGAGCTGTTTGACAGTGGAACTGACTTCCTGGGAAGGTGGTGGACTCTCCTTCCTTGGAGGTTTTTAAGCAGAAGTTGGATGATCACCTGTCATAGTTGCTTTAGTTGAGATTTCTGCATTGCAGGGGGTTGGACTAGATGACTCTTGGGGTCCCTTCCAACTCTACAATTCTGTGATACAGCAGGGGTAATCAATGCGGTGCCCTCCATGTGCCACTGACTATGTTGGCGGGGCTGATGGGATTTGTAGTCCAAAACGTCTAGAAGGCACCACACCTGCTGTTTGTTTGTTTGCTTGTTTGTTTGTTTGTTTGATTAAAAGAATCCTTCCCTTAAAAAATTAGGTGAGAAAATTATATTACTGATGTCCAAGATTAGGACATACAGAATAAAATAAGACTGGAATAATATGGCTTTTTAAGGTTTTTAAAAGAGATTTCATCACTGTTCACTCTCTGTTTTCTTGTGCCACTCGTCTGTGATGCTGCTTCAGTGGAAGTGGCAATACTTTCATGACATCACACCATCTTTGTTGATCTCGCAAATGCCAGCATGGGAAGCAGTGGATGAGCTGGGAGTTACAAATCACAGGGAAACTGGCACTCCTCTCATAAGCAATTATCTCATGATGGGGTGACGTTGAGTTAAAGAAACTGTGGATGAGTGCTTTCTCTGAGTAATCTCAACAGACATATGTCTAAATGTGTCACTCTCAAGATGAATGAGGGAGGGGGTCACCCAAGCTTTCCTCTACACATAAGGGAATAGTGTGTTTCCACCAGGGATGGTGAGTGCAAGTCTTAGAGGAGCCCAGGCAGACAAATGCCGGAGCACATCAGCATCTACACACACACACACACACACACACACACACTGTATATTTCAGCAGTGGCTCAGCCTTCTATCTACTATCTAGAATGTAGATCATAGTAAATTTCTCACTGGGAGATGAGGGACTGTGATGTAACACTTGCTGTGGCCTACAGCTAAAGCCTCCCATTAGGTGTATACAAAAATTCAGTCCAACAAGAATGCGAAGTGGGGGAAGCTATTGGAAACAAAAGCAAAACAAAACAAGAAAGGAGTTTATTGAGCCAACACATTTTGGACTCTAGCGGTTCTTCTTTGGGGCAATTCAGAGAGCAAGGATTCACAGGTGAGACTCCTATTTCCATCTTCAGTTTCCTCTAAAATCTCTTTCTTGTGGACACCATTGTTTCATGCTTTTGATTCCAGTTTGCGAGGGTGGGGGGAAACAGCCTAGTTGGTTACCAAAAAACAAATTGCAAGTCTGATTCATTTGTAAAAAAAAGTGTAAGAGAGAGGAAGGGAGGGGCAGATATTATATCAGATGGATATGAAATCTTCTGTAAGTGGTTCAAGTCTTTGTTCTTCAGTTCCAGAGCTTGAGATTAAACCACCTTAGGCAACTTCTGCCACAGCAGCAAAGGAGTCAGGATTTAACGCTGAATCACAGGAAATATAGTTCAATTATTGAAATGCAGCAGCAAATTAAATTTGAGAACTCATGCAATGGGAAACGGCACAAGCTAGGGAAGAACATATTCCATACCTTTTGGGATTTTATTTTTTTATTTAACAAATATATTTGTGGTATAACCTCAAGGTGGTTTACAAACAACAACAACCATGGAGATCTGTTAGAAATCCCCTCCCAAAAAAATGTGTAGGAGGATGAAAATTAGACCCCACTCTGAGCCAAATGTTACTCTTCTCAAAGAGACATTTGTGTTGACGTTGAACTATTGAAAATAAAAATTCCACATCTGCATTAATGATCCAGTGTCCCTCAAGATTGTAACCAGAGACACAGAGAGAGCAGAAAGAACATTTGAGTTTATGATGCTAAGAGTTTCTGAATGCGTCTTAAGGAGAGTTTTATCCCAATTGGCTCTTTGCCCCTGAATAATATGCATACCAAGGTAAAAAGCACATTACTTTATGTAAAAAAACCACCAAGAACAAATCAATACACATCTGCTGCTTCTCACTAAACATCATTAAATTAATCTCTTCCGAAATGCTCTGCTGTAAATGCATTTCATCTGAACAATAATGGTGTTTGAGTAGATGCCTAACACAATTCCCTGAATGAATAAACAAACAAACAAATAGGTTCCCCCCCCCAAACTCTGATTTTTAGGAGGCACTATTAATTCTAAGCCCTATAGAATTAAGGGAAAGGGAGCAAACCAAACAGTAATGAGCAGTCTGCTTTTTTCCCCAAACTACAATTAAGAGGAGTTTGTTTCCATCCTGAGGTCTGGCTGTGATGCCTTCTCTAATGCCATATTGATCTACTTGCAATCCAGTTGAAGCCTCAGTGTTTCCCCAGGCCCAACCCTGTGGAAATTCTTTTGAAAACACTTTCCAGAATGAAGACCTCTGGTGCAAAAGAAAGGAATATATTACGCTGCGCATCTATTTTATTGCAGCTAAAATATGTACACGCACGAATAATTCAGCTAAAATGTCTATCAACCATCACACATTGATGACCCTGAGATGGATACATAGAGGACATTACAGATTGAACACTGACTGAGTACTGATAACAAGTCACTTGGGAGGCTGCCAAGCCAGAGTTCCTGGCATAATGATATTAGAGATGACATTTCACCAAATATATAAAATGGTCTCCAAACAATGATCTCTAAAAATCTTTCTCAACAGGAAAGAGAGATTAGATGGGGCAAGGGAGGTAACAAGAACTTGGATCACTAGAAAATCTACATGCCCCATAATAACCCTTCAAAAACCCTTCTTAGGTCAAACAATCAAATCCCCCTGGAAAAGATGTAATTGACAACTCTATAATGTGCAATTTATGCAATATCTGGCTGGCTGGGGTTCTTTATGAATCCAAATTTATTCTGATGACAATAGTGGTTGTAGGTTCCACTAAGTTCATTTATTCATAGGTCACATTTCTGGAATTTTCAGTGTAAAAAGAAATATCTTCAAGTTCTTTTACAGATTAATTAATTACATTGGAAATTCTCATGGAGACAGAGAGAGGAAGAGAAGATTTGTTTCATTTATTTATCACATTCATATTCCACATTTTTTCTCCAAGGATCTCAAGATAGCATACGTAGTTCTCCCTCTCTTCACTTAACTCCCACAATAACCCTGTGATGTTGGTAGGGCTAGGAGGCAGTGACTGGCTGAGTAGGAATCTGAATCCTGGTCTTCCAGGTCCTAGTCTGACACTTCAACCACTACACAATGCTGGAACGATCCGGGTTCATTCTCCTTGTCAGCCGGCGTGCTGAGTTGGGCCCAACATGGGGAGGGAGGTGTCCTGCATGTATGACATCACACGCACAATGCCCCACCCAGTCCAGCCAGGCCGTGAGGGTGTCCCTTTGAGGGAAGGCACTCTGGTGATCATGGTGGGGAGTGTGGAGGGTGAAAATTGCCCTCCATGCTTCCTTTTTTGTTGATGATGATGAATTTTCTTTTTTTTAAAAAAAAATTATATACTTTTCAAGTTTATACTTTTCACTAATTTTACAATCATTTTGACATTTCAAAGCTTGACTTCCTTCCCCCTCTTCCTGCAGTTCCTTAATTTATTTTTAATATCTTCTGCATATCCAAATTAACGCAATTTACTCATTTTTTCATCTTCTTTAAATATATACTCTTATAAAGCTGCAGGTTATTACAATAATCCCACCAATGTTCTAATCTTTAAATATTCAATAAACCGTTTCCATTCTTTTATAAAAAGTTTGTTCTCTTGATTTCTTATTCTTCTGGTAAGTTTCGCCATTTCTGCATACTGTATTCCATAAGTTTTTGTATCCATTCTTCCTTTGCTGGGACTTCTGCTTCTTTCCATTTTGGGGCAAGTAACATTCTTGCCGCTGTTGTAGCATACGTGAATAAGTTTCTATACAGTATAGGTAGTTCTGTCCCTATAATTCCCAAAAGAAAAGCTTCTGGGTTGTTGTTTTTTACAAAGGTTATTTTAAACATCTTTTTCATTTCATTATATATCATTTCCCAGTAAGCTTGAACCTTACTAGATGTCACAGTGCAGCTCACAGGCGATCGAAGTCCCGGCTGGGGACATCGGGACCGGGGGCAAGATGGCGGGGTGGGAGCAGGAACGGGAGTCCAGAAGCCAGGAGTCGGGAAGCCAAGAGTCCGAGGGTCAGAGAACTGGGAGTCAAGAAGCCAAGGGTCCGAGGGTCAAGAAACAAGGAGTCACAAAGGCAGGGGTCCGAGGACCAAGGAGCAAGGAGTCACGAAGGCAGGGGTCCGAGGAGCAAGGAGTCAAGAAACCAGACCCCGCAAGGCAGGGAACATGTTGCTGTGGCAAAGAGCTGAAAGGAAAATGCTGACCTTATATCCCTTCCCAGCTCTTGCCACCAGGTGCTGTAAGTTACCAAGCGGCGTCACCTGTGCGGCCACGCC